CAGAGAATCTAACACCCTCTTCTGGCCTCTGTGAGCACTGCACCCATGGGTGCACTTACATACAGGCAAAACACTCATAAAATTTTAAAAATATGCTTTTTAAAAAGAGTAGGTTTTGCCCAATGTATACATTCAATGAGATACCAGTACAATGCCCCAAACAAGAATAAATGCAAAGGTATAAAAGTTCATAGATACTTAAAATGATCTTGAAAAAAATAAAAAGGACATGGCCTCCCTCAGGAATTTTAAACTCATAATGATTTCTTTAGAAGTAGAACTTTTACTGTAGAAATAGGCAAAAAGGACAGAACAGAGCTCAGAAAGATACCCAGTTCTACACAGAAACTTGGTATTTAATAGTGGTGGTATAAAAATTCTTACCCAGAAAAACAAAGTATTTAATAGTGCTTAGGAGATTGGCTCAAAGTATAGGAGACATTAAGACACGACTAGATTCCCACCTAATGCATACATAGTAATAATATACACCTGTTATATAAAAACAAACCCCACCCAATCTAATTGCCTAGAATGCCATGTAAAATAGCCTTAAAATAAAAAAGCTAAATCAAGAGACATTTTGAAAATGCCACAAAGACAGTTCTCAGCACCGTCAAGAGGTGAACTGATTGCCCAAGGAAGCAGGAGGAGCTGCAGTGTGTCAAAAATACTTTTCTGAAGGGAAATTGATACAATCAAGACAAATAAGAACCAAACCCACAGCAACACTGGAAATACCCAGTGTGGAATAATCCCAGGGTTGAGAAATGTTTCTCAGGACTGAAGAGATGGCTCAGCAGTTAAGAGCACTGGCTGCTCTTACGGAGGATCTGAGTTCAGATCCCAGCACCTATATTGCAGCTCCCAACCATCTGTAACTCCAGCTCCAGAGGACCAGCTCCCTCTTCTGGCCTACATGGGTTCCTGCATGCATGTGGTGGACATATATACTCAGGCACACATATATACAAATAAAAGTGAAAAATGAAATCTTAAAAAAAGAAATGCTTCCCATACCAATGTGACTAGATTTGCCTTGGTGTGAATGAAAACCTCAACTCTAGCTCACGGTGTCCGTGGCAATCCTATCACATAGTACTGCTCACCAGCATATCAGGGTTCAGCTATGAGGTGCATTTTGAGTGGAGGGTCTGGTTTTGTTTTTGTTTTTTTTTTTATTTGGCATTTTTATGTGGAGTTGGGGTGGGGTGGAGTTAGTACAGGACTTTGCCTTTCAGTTCGCAGACCACTAGCATCATCCTCATCTATGTGCATGTTGAAATGCAGAACTTGAGACCACTCCTACTCTGCCAAATTACAACCTGCATTATGCTCAGTAAGAAAGAGAAGCACTTCAAAAGATTTCAGAGACAGTAGCTTAGGAGTGGCAAAGCTTAGTAACTGGCTCTACTTGGACCATCCTTACCCAGCCTCCCCATTTATCTAGAGAAACAATTTCATCTCTTACACTAAAAGTAATGAAATATTTTACCTGAGCTCACTTGGTCAACAGTTTTAATGCTCTAAGCCTCCAGGCACAAGATGGCATCCTGACCATCTACATGTCAGGGCCTCTGGGTTTCACACACTGGCTGGATCTCAGGCCTTTATAATTCTAATAAGCCTGGTGTTCTGGTTCCCTGCTCACAAAATATCAAAAGCAGCAAATTTAAAGTAGGGCAAAGGAAAAGGAGTTAAAATATGGGTCTGGGGTGAGGTCTACACTGAGATGTGATGGTTGAAAGAATGGCTTTGACATTTTCACGGTCATTTAGTTTTATTAATCTGTTCACACCTCAAAACCAGTAGTTCAGATCCTAGAGCAGGGGAACGTACCTCTGGCTGTGTGGGCCAATCACCCTAAGAGTCCTTTAAAAAACAAGCAGGCAAGCAAACACACAGTCTGTGATTCTGATCTATCCACTTGATCTCTGGTGGAATCCAGGCTCATGTATCTTGGCAGAGTTTCCCAGGTGATCCTTAGTGGTTTAAGACCAGTCAGTGTAGGGCCCAAAGGCCCAAACAACTCTTTACAGCTCACTGTATCTCTAGTGATGGTTAGTTAGGATGGCTGTGGCTACCAGGATTTTCCTCTTAGAGGGAAACACCTCGTATGTTAGAGGTGATTTTTGACAGAAAACAAGAGGCTTAGAACTAAATTATACAGGTGTATGTACCTAACTCCTGTGTCATAGAGAAATACAGAGGGTGTTGGTGCTATGAGGTAGACACCTGCCAGCTTTCCCTTCTGAGTCGTGTGCATGTTGCCCCCGACCCCTGTAAACAGCACTTACCTTGTCATAAGCTTGACTTGCCCTAGTGATTCTGGCTCAGGAAGATCCCCCTGGGTTCTGCCTTCATCACTAGCTCTGAATGATGCTGTGGTAGCTCCAAGGACCACACTTGCAGCTCCAAGGCCCTAGAACAGTTCTTCCTGCTGTCCACTGCTGACACTTGGAACCCAGACAAGGAAATTGGCTTCTTCGCTCCCGAGTACCCAGAAACCCTGTGTACGCTCAACGCTGTAAGCTTTCTTGAACCCACGGCCCAGATTTCCAAGGCCCAGATTTCCACGTCTCAACTATTCCCTTCTCCACTAGGCAGCTTTGTTGGAGGATCAGAGACTGCCCAGTTAGAAATGGGCTTAGAGCACACGTTGTGCCACTCACTGATTATGGAAGGCCAAGTCAGCAAAGAATTTACTAAGTTCACAGGTGATGGGTGTCAAGTGGAAACTAGATCCAAGGCAGAATGTGAAGGCATCGGTTCAGTACTCTCAGGATGTCTGCTCTGTGAAAGTCACAAGCTTATCCTGTGGGAACTCACAGACTAACAGAAAGACTCAGAAAGGAACAGAAAATTCTAAAGCTCTGGCTGACAGTGTTGGAGCCCTGAGTTGGGCAGATATGGGGTTGGGGAGGCTCCCTGCCTGAGCTCACATAATAACTATTGTTTCCCTGAGGAATTTGCATGAAAAAGGATCAAAGCCTCGGTTGAAACTCCCCCCACCGCTTGTCCTTGTTTTGGAGCTCCTTCTGAAATAACACACAATGGCGTCTACTCTTACTCAATATTAGGAAGCCCTTGTGCAAAATTAAATAATTTTAAGTGATGGGAAGAAGATTCGTATCTCCAGAACCTACAACCTCACCAAGCCAAATGGATACTTATTCCCCCAAGGCCTCAAACGAAAGCAGAGCTGTGTGAAATCATCAAGTTCAGTGACATTCTGGCTCCTGGGGCCACAAATGTACCTGGAATCAGCCACATGGCCCCCTGGGGGCTCTCCTCCCTTGCCACTAAAACAATACCAGAGGCGCTGTTTAAACTGGATTTGTGTGCCAGGGAGATGGCTGAGTGGGTGAAGACGCTTGCTGCCAAGCAGGGCAACCTGAGTTCAGTGCTGGGGACTCACAAGGTGGCAGGAGAGGACCTACGATACAAAGTCATTTTCTCATCTCCACACGCCCTGCCATGGCATATGAGCCCACACATGCTTGTGCGCATGCTTGCGTGCATGCGCACGCACACACACACACACACACACACACACACACACACTCTAACCCTTAATAGGTTAAATAAACAAACTTGGCTGACTTCCAAGTCTGCCCTCATTTGGGAATTCCCTGACTGAGTTTATTCCAAAAATCTTTCTATCTGGCTATCGGGGTCTGGAGTCAGAGAGCCATCTATAGGAAATCAGCCCCAAGCCACAAGTCTGAGTATTCAATACTAACACCACTAAGAGCTGTATTGGTTTGCTGGGCTCAAGACCCCCCTCTTCTGCCCCAGCTTTGCGGTGTTTCTTTTCCTGGTTAATCCAACTGCACCTCTGACCTCAAGTCACCTTGGTTCATCTGGGGAGCTTCCCTGTTAGAATAGGCTGCTGGGTGGCGAAGGTATCCTGAGTTGATGACTCCATTTCATCCACATAACATTCCAAACATCACAAATGACTTCCTTAGGGCTTCCTCAGAGCCAGGGGGAAGAACTAGACCGTGGGGTGCAGAACTGCTAACCCATAGGGATGTTTGAACCACAGGGCCAGAGCTGGTTTCACATGTTTCTCATTAATTTCTTGTCTTAATGGGTGACAGCGAAGCAAAAGCTGACTTTCCTGGTTTGCTGTAATTTAGAGACAGTTTTGATTGAGCAACCCAGAGCTTTTCCAAATCCATTGATCTTGGGGTGCAGGAAGGATTTCTTTCTCAGTATTTGTCTCAAATGATCTATTCACGGATGCAGTCAGAGTGCAAAGACAGAAACCCACGCTTTCAACAGTATGTTTTGCAATAGCTATTAGATGACCACAGCCTCATCAGAGCCATGGAAAAAGTCATGTGGGGGGTGACGGAGGGGACCTCGAGAATTGGACTTTGCCAGGAACTGTACTCTACTCCAACACCCAAAGCACAGACTTAAGACGACTGGAAGAACAAGGGAGAGGCCAGGCGAGGGCCAGGCTCTCTCAGGTCTCTCTGACCCACGAAGATGCTAAGAGGGGCCTTGGCCCTGGGTCACCTGACCTCAGGGTGTGGATCCAGCAGCTACATACACAGTGGCTTACTGGGACAATACGATCCCACAGCAAGGGGAGCAGAGGACATCGTCTACCAGGAGTAGAGAAGACTGGGGTACCTTTCTTGTGGTAGGAGTATTCCTGGAGGAGGGCAAGGCTGGTTGGAGCCTTGAGGAAGTCCTAGGCCTAACCGGATCAGGTCTGCGCACTTGGCCACTGCCAGGGGTCCAGGAAGTCTACCTGGTTGCCTTGCACAAGCTTGCAATCCATCCCTGGCTAGCCTTGCAGGCCCACCTGGCTTTGCTCCCTGCCTGCCCAGGCCTTGTTCGCCCCACCCACCGCCCTCCTCTCGCTCCGCCTCCAGGGGGGGCAGGCACGCACCTGGCTACTATAAAGATCCGAGGCGCCCGTGCTACACAATCAGCAAGCAACCTTCCCTGGCGCAGCTGTAAGGTCTTCAATCCCACCGGATGCCATGGCTGAAATGCAGGCGTACAGACCAGAGACGCCGGAAGACCCGGATCGCTTGTGGATCTGGGAGAGGCATGTGTACCTGGACGAGAACAAGCGCAGCTGGCTGCCTATAACACTCAAGGTACCGACCACCAAGGGGACAGCAGGTGGGACAGCGGGTGGCACCTGCCCTTGGCCCAGTCCTGGGAGCTGGCGACTCCTGGACTGGACTAGGACGGGCGAGGTCTTGGAGGGACATTGGCGCCCTCCTGCCCCCAAGCACGAGGGCTAAGAAGACCAGGTGAAAGAACTTTTGAGCTGGACTTTGTCTAGTTCTCCAGGCCTGGAAGGGAGGGTGGGAGAGCCTGGAGGGCAGTGGGGAAGGAAGGCAGTGGGCAAACTGGGGACCTGGTCTCTGATGGTGTGACCATATGGTTTTGCCTAAAAAGGGTCTTTTCTGGGCTTGGCTGTTCATGGGGCTGATACTAGATTTCTTCAGGCCTCAGAAATCTGGGTTTTCTTGGAGGGACATTGGCGCCCTCCTGCCCCCAAGCACGAGGGCTAAGAAGACCCGGTGAAAGAACTTTTGAGCTGGACTTTGTCTAGTTCTCCAGGCCTGGAAGGGAGGGTGGGAGAGACTGGAGGGCAGTGGGGAAGGAAGGCAGTGGGCAAACTGCGGACCTGGTCTCTGATGGTGTGACCATATGGTCACTTAAATCTCTTAAAAGCACCTTCAGTCAGAGCTTGAGTTTCTGCCAAGAAACTCAAAGAAAAATTATTGGACAGAGGCTAGGCAGTCTTTAATCTTAGCACTCAGGAAGCAGAGACAGGCAGATCCCCTGTGAGTTTTAGGCCTGCCTGGTATATAAGTGAGTTCCAGGCCAGCTGGGACTGCATAGTGAGAACTTGTCTAAAAATTAATAATTAATTAATTAATTAATTGACTTATTGAAACTTGCTCCGTACATAAACCAAAGAAAGTCTACAAGTACAATTAAACCGTTAAAACATGATGTAAATAGCACAGGATTATGAGTTAGGTCTCCACTTTGTAGCCCAAGTTGAGTCTTGCTGGGAATCTCCCCAGTGCTGCCAGCAGGTATTAGAAGTTCAATTCCAGAATCTAAAAAAATTTGCATTCTTTTTGCCTTTTTAGAGTGTTGTTATATATATAAATAAGTATATATTGGGAAAAAAAGTTAAATACTTTTAAGTCAGATGTATGAAGACAATTTAGACAGATATTCTTTTAATCTGTTTGGGAGCTATTTTCTCACCCAGATCTTGAACCACAGTTTTTCACAGTCATGATAAATACTGCCTGAATAGCAGCTTACTAGCAAACTTCAAGGCAGGATTTGCTCCCATGATTGAAAGACCCGGAACTCTTACCATGTAAACAGTCACTATTAAAGGAAAATGATAAATAATGCAGCCAGCAACAATGGTCAGACCATACAGGTGAACAAGAATAGTGATTTCTTGGGCAGTTACACGCCTGGCGAGGTGATCAGAATCTTCCCTTTGACATTTCCAATTTATTTCACTGGCAGAAAGTTTTACTGAATGGTCAGACCATACAGGTGAACAAGAATAGTGATTTCTTGGGCAGTTACATGCCTGGCAAGGTGATCAGAATCTTTCCTTTGACATTTCCAATTTATTTCACTGGCAGAAAGTTTTACTATTTTCACCTTGGGAAAATACTTGTTGGGTGAATGTGAGCCTGTCTTGTATACCTTAAACACAGTTCTGGCTGAGGGTTCGAAGTGAATGTGGTAGGGCCACTTGGGAACCGTGTGCCCTGCTGGGGGAGGTAGATAAATGACAGGGTGGGGCTGGTGTGAGAGAAAGAGCCCGGGCTGAGAAACTGCAGTGAGGGGGTCATTGAGTAAAACCCCACTGAAGTCATAGTTTGGATTTGAATGTCTCATTTTTGAGTAATTTTGTTTGATATTTGGAGCTGCCTCCCCACCACCCCCAAATGCTCCCTATACATGAGGCGAGCATTCTACCACTAAGCTACAGCCCAGCTTTTTTTACTTTTTAAAAAAATTCTTTAAAATTTAGAGACAAGGTCTTGTGTAGTTACTCGGGTTGGCCTTAAACTCACTCTGTAGCCCTGATAGGCCTTGAATGGGTGATCCTTCTGTCTAGGCCTACTGAGCAGTAGGGTTACAGGCCTGTGCCACTTGGTCCCACTAGGGCCTTACCTCAGGTACCTTGTGGAACTGGATTGTGCTGCTTTTGGGTTTTGTTGTTTCTTTGTTTGCTTTTGCCCTGAATTGGTGGATAAAACTAGCTTTTAAGGCCTAGCAAGATGGCTGAACAGATAAAGGCATTTGCCTCTGAGCCTGGTAACCAGAGTTGGATTCCTTTAACATACAGGGTAGGAGAGAACTGACTCCCACAAGCTGTCCTCTCAACCTCCACATGTGTGCTGAGGCACATGCATGCCCACACACATACACACACTAAAGCAAATAATGTTATGCCAGGCAGGTGGTACATACCTTCAATCCCAGCACTCAGAGCCAGAGGCAGATGGTTCTCTGAGTTCAAAGCCAGCCTGGTCTATTTCATGAGATTCAGGCCAGCCATGGCTGCAGTGTGATCCTGCCCCCGCCCCCAAAAAAAGCCAGCTGAACATGAGCCTGAGAGTGAGTGAGGCAGAGGAGGAGTCCAGCAGGACAGGTCACAATTTTCAGATGTCCACTGCCATCTAAAGACAGCAAATCAGGAGGTCTTTGCCATAGTCTAATGAGCTATGCTGGGGATAGGGAAAAGCAGTCAGTCACCAGTCTTGGAGATTCAAGCATATGTTGTATAAAGGGGAGATTGGACAAAATCAAAACTAATGCCATGGCAGGTCTGGGGAGATAGCTACGTTGGTAAAGTGCTTACCTTACAAGCATAAGGTCTCAAGTTCAATCCCCAGAACCCCTATATGAAAGAGAAGCCAGGCAAGGTGGTATGTGCTGGTAATCCCAGACAGGTAGACGCCGGGGGCTCTCTGACCCGCCAGCCTGTCTTTTTTTGTTAATTGGTTTGTTTTTGTTGTGTGTGGTTTTTTTTTGGGGGGGGGGGCACATCCAGGCCAGTGAGAGGTCCTATCTCAGGAAGAAAAAAGCAAAGGTAGATAGTGCCCAAGGAATAACACCTAAGATTGCCTTCTAGCTTACACCTAACACACGCACGCATGCGCACATCAGACCAACCGAGGGCGCACATCAGACCAACCGAGGGCGGCATGGCTTACTCTAGCAACTGGAGGGTTAGCAGGAAAAAGTGGGCCCATCCGGATGGCTACACTGGCTCAGCCCCAGGCCCTAAGAGGAGTGAGTGTGACCTGCGGAGCTGACACCTGGACAGCAATCACCAGCTGTCTGTGCTCGGCATCTGTTGCGTCAGCCCCAGGGTAGAGTGGCAGGGATGGACCTTGGTGGTTGGGCCTCAGGGAGCCTGGTGGTAGCACACAGGAGCTGAAGACATGCCCTATTCTTCCTCTACAGACCAGTGAAAACTTCCAGGTGCTCTTGCGTCAGGCAGACATCCCCTTGGGTTTGCCTATGAGCCCCAAGGACCTGCAGGCATACGAGCTGCCTTTGATGTGGCAGCTGTACCCAGGAAAAAAATACCGCGGCTCTGACTCCATGCTATGGCAGATACTGTACCACATTAAGGCAAGCGCAGCTTTCCCCAAGGACCAAGCAGGTGATGGTGGGTGGCCCAGCCCTCACCCCATGTCTGGCCTGGGCTAGGCCTGTTCTCTCTATCCCTGTACCAGAGGCTAAGGAAACAGAGGGGACTAACTACAGATTTGTGGCGAGTGGGTTAGAAAGGTACAGTTGCAGAACTGGCAATCCCTCTGAGGTCTCAGACAAGCCCTTGATGCAGGGAGCCCCCACTGGTGGCAATCAACAGGCTGTGAGGCTGGAGGAGAGGGCCAGACCCCATCCAGGTCCCAGTGCTTTCCCTGTCCAGGGGAAGACAGAGCCAGGATACAGTGGGGAGGATAGAGGATTCCCAGGACAGGTTCTGATGTTACTCTCTGGTCTCTCTTCTTGCCCACCCTCAGTTCAGAGGCGTAGAGGACATGTTACTTGAACGGTTGCCATCTGAGGACTAGCAACGACATGGTGAGCACCCTGGGGCTCTGTGTGAAGGAAGTGACCCTTCTTGATGAAGGCTGTGCCAGCCCCTCCCCAGCAGCTACCCTCAGAGGGTCCTCAGGGTGGGACAGGCTTCCCAGAAGTGACTATGTCTGTCTCTTCATTTACTAACTTGAGAGCTCTAGCGTACTGTACCCAGGTGTACAGAGCCCCAAAAGTCACCACAAGCACTTTTACATTTATGCACTCTGTCACACAGAGACCACAGCTAGGTCACCCCATCAGCTGAGCTTGGTGATTGTGAGATGTTAATGTTGAGAAACTGCAGTGACTTGACCAGACAGAGCCAGATTTCAAATCTAGCTCTTACCTACTCCCTTCACCCTCTGTGTTTTGCCCTGGCACAGGCAGGAGATGGAAGATCAGCACCAGGAGTCAGCTGACTACCCAGCTCCCAAACCCTGAGTCACCCAGCAGCCCTGCTGCCTGCTGCTCCCTGTGCCTCTGACCCTTCTTTCTGTCCTCTCATAGGTCCTGCATCCTGTCTCCATCGGCCCCCTGGGCCCACAGGGGAGATGTTTGTATTCATGCCTCATTTGCTGGTCTCCTTTCTTTTCTACCATGTTGGGCTCTGGAAGGAAACAGCTGGCCAGAGGATGCACCTGCCCAGGCTGCTGGATCTCTGCTCCCTTGGCCCTCAGGTCTGCTTCCAGCCTGGTGGATGACACCAGAGAGGAGTCTTGGTCCTTATCGCCTTCTCCAGGTGTCTAGTGTCCAGTGGTAGCTGTGCCTCTGATCTTCCCAGCTGACTGTTTTCAGCCTTTCCCTCCCTTTTCCCCCCTCAGGGTGACTAGCTCCTGGCTCTCGTCCCTGAGGGTCCCTCTCTGGTCCTTTAGCTCCGTGCACCATGGGGAACAAAGCCTATTTGCTTGAATCCTGAGCAGAGCCCTGTTCAGCCGTGTCTCAAGGTCCAGGGCTACTTGGCCTGTAAACCCCTACCTACCCAATGGGCTCAGGCTTGATTGCAGAATAGTATAAGGCCTGAGAGCTTCATTTCTCTCCTCAGAACCTGGGAACATGTTGCCAGTGGGCTTGTGACCTGGACCTGGTTATCAATGACCCCTCAGGTTGCCCACCAGTGGGCTCCCCTCCTTCACAGGTGCCTATACATGTGGGTATTGGGATGCTGTATTTAATGTAGACACTTTATAATGTTGATGATTAAATATAATATTCATCTTACTTGTTCTGAATTGACCTCTATTCTTGACCTAAATGCTAGTAGAAGGGAGAAGTGGGGTCACCCAGTTACAACTCTGAAAGGAGGAGTTGAAGAATTGCATGTCCTTCTAGTTTGGGGACAAGGCTGGACTCTTAATTTTTCATATAATCCAGTTCTCAAACCCCAGTGTTCTTGGATGCATGATTTGTGAACATTTAAAGTTGATGACTTCTAAACATGCTTGTCAGCTAGTCCCCTTGGTCTGATACTGCCTTCCCACCTACCTCTGAAAGCCCTCAGCCCCAGCTGCCCTGCTGCCTCCTGGCCAAGCACTAGTCTACCCTTCTACAGGTGGCTCCTGTTCTCATTCCCAGCAGGCCAGGTGTCCTTCCCACAGGAACCTGCCCCATCACTCCAACCCCAGACAGACTCCCCAACATCCATGACCTATAGTCACAGACTAGCCTAACTTGTGATCCTGTCTTCCTACTGATTTTCACAACTTCCTGCCCTCCTGCACCTTCTGAGTAAGACATCATCATAAGGGACACCCTCCAGAGCAAGGAAGCCAGAAAGGGGCCAGTGACACCCTGCTTCCCACCTCTGTGTAACTAGTTCATAGCTTCCTTGCTGCAGAGCGATAAGGGGTGTGGTACTTAGCTGTCTAGAGGATACAGAGGGTAAGAAAAGTAAAGTGCTCTAAACATCCAACAAGAGAACTGTAAAAGAAATCCTCTTCCTCATCAGTCTCACCCCAGCTTGTTACCCACTTTGGACAGATTAGCAGATTGTCTACTTGACTAGATCTAGAATCTCAAAGAGATGCCTCTGGGCATGTCTATGAGGGATTGTTTTGATTAGGTTAACTGATGTGGGAAGGCCCACCCTGAATATGGGCAGCACCATCCGATGGGCTAGGGTCCCCAGACTAAACAAAAGGAGAAATGGAGCTGAGCTGCGACATTCATCTCTCTCTGCTTCCTAACTACATATAAAGTGTGAACAGGTACCTCAAGCTCCTGCCACCATGTCTTCCCTACCATGATGGACTGTACCCCTCAAACTCTGAGCCAAATAAGCCCTGCCCTCCTCAGGTTGCTTTTGTCAAGTAGTTTATCAAAACAACGATAAAAGTAGTTAATATGCCACCACCTATGATGACAGGGCTCCTGTCTGTCATCATTTTGACCTTGTTGCCTTGTGTTGAGCATAAAATCTGGGGTCGGAAGACCCCACCAATGCAGCACAAAGAACATGCAAACAAAGTGCAAGTAAAACGCCACCAAGTAGCTTTTACTTTTGCAAAGGGGTGTGTGGCTCCATCAAGCCAGCTCACAGAGCAGGAAATTTGGTAGGTGTTTATTCTAACACGAGTTATTTGTCTCTTTCCAATGGGCTGGGGTCTGATGCCACAGTCTTGAGGTTGGCTAGTTTCAAAAAGAATTGGTGAAAGAAAATGAAGAAACAGGGAAGGTGGCCATCACATTCCAGGAATGCCACAGGGCCTTCTCAGAAAAAGCTTTATAATTTGGCAGGAAGATTGTAAAATAGCATTACAGAGCTTGCATTCCTGTGATCGTTCTTTTGATAGAAAAGGTTTTAGTTCCTTATACTTATTTCCTTCCCTTGCATGGTACTTGGCAGTAGTAGCATAAGGGTTTGATCTAATGGAGGGATGACTAGACTCAGGGACTGAAAGCAGACCAGAGTGAGAAAGAGCCACGGATACCCGTCTCCTTATTAGAGGCCCAGGGAGAGGAACTGTCTTTTGCAGGATTCTTTTGTTTGACACCTTTGGCTATCACCATGAGCTTTTTCGGGTGATGTGGATGTATCAGCCTCTGAACAGTCTGGAGGTGGCTTTGTGCATGTGTCCACATAGAGGCCAGAGGTCAACCTCAGGGTCTTCATCAATCACTTTCCACCTTAACATTTTGAGCCAGTCTCTCACCAAACCTGGAGCTTATTGGTTGGCTAGACTAGCTAGCTATCAAGCCCTGGGTTGGGTAGGCAAGCATAAAGACAGCCTGACAACAAAAGGCACTTCCTTTTAGCTGTCCTTCCCTGGTAGAGCAATACCCAGCATTTCACCACTTGTAATTGGTGATCAGGAACTTGGAGAAGCAAGACCCCCTTTAGCCAGTATTTGGCGTAAGCACAGTGAGGGTAAATCTGTCCTTGAAGCAACCTGTCAGGGAAAAAAACCTATTTACCATCTCATGTGTATGCATGATGTACATATGCTTAAAATTATAGGATGCTTGCCAGGCATGGTGACACACACCTTTAATCCCAGCACTTGAGAGGCAGAGTAGGCGGATCTATGAGTTCAAGGCCAGCCTGGTGTACATAGTGAGTTCTAGGACAGCTGGGACTACAGGGAGACCCTGTCTCAAAAAGACCAAAAAAGAAAAAAATTATAGGATGCCCCTACACACAGATCATCCAAAATTATCCAACACTCTATCTGTAGACTGGTAAGGATCTACCCCAGTACCCTCCCACTCCCACTGATTGACTCATCCCAGAAGAGAGCTTCCTGGGCCTCCTGAGCCATTCTGTGGAATACACTGCTTATACTCACTCCAAAAAATCGATACTTTCCTACTGTTCTGTGTCCTGTCCAGTTTGTTATTAACGGTACAAATAACCTGGACACTGTGTCACAGGACACTCGGACTTCCTCCCATAGCTCAGGACTCCTCCTGTTTCCCAACACTCAGGAGGCAGAGGCAGGTGGTTCTCTGTGAGATCGAGGCCAGCCTGGTCTAGACAGTGAGTTCCAGTCCAGCTATGGTTACAGGGAGACCCTGTCTCAAAAAAAAAAAAAAAAAAAAAGCACTACTGTACCCAGCTTTTTATGTGGGTGCTGAAGATTGGAATCAGGCTGGTACATAAAGCATATTACTGAGTCATGTCCTCTAGCCCTCATAATTTCCTTAGGATAAAAAACACCTAGTATAAAACCTCCCTTAGTACACTTAAAAAAATAATATGTATATGAGTGTATTGCCTACATCTATCTATCTATCTA